CTACCAGACGCGGAATGATAATAATTGCTGAGTCCCTTATGCCGCCGCTATTGGCTGAGCACTATACAGTCGCGACCATGAGCTTTGTTTCAAACTTCCAATGGCTTTGTTGCCAGGAGGCAATGGCGTTACCGTAGTGCCGCTATTGTCTGCGCAGTGCGCAATCTACCAGTGATAAAACTGTACAGGGGTAACTACCGGTCCAGTACCTGTAATATGATGAGGTTGAATGCTGGTAAGCCCAACATTACGCTTACTTACTTATCCACCAGTTACGTGTTACTTATTTATTGGATATTTACTTTTGTTACTTATTTACTGTTTTAAGTTCACTCGTTTCCGGTTAGTTTGTTTTCTTTGTGCACGTCATGATTTTAATGTTAACAATTGATAGTGGAATGTATTACAAATGTAAACTTTGTATTAATATGATGGAATTAAGCTGTGGTAACGACATTAAAGATATTAATGCATGCGGGGTATATGGAGGTGCGGTCTATCTGAAATTTGTTTGACACAAAACGCTCTTTTTGCAGGGTATATGCGTCTGCGAGTTATATGCATATGCGGGCTATATGAGGGAAAATACGGTACTCAATTCATAGAGAGGTTTGATCAAGCTGGATTCCACAAGCTGCAGCGATTTGAAAATGTGCTGTTATGCGGAGACATGGACAAGGTGGTAGACGAGTCTCCTGAATTTAATTCAAGACTACTGCAGCTGGTCATGTTTGGGGCTAATTACACATCTCAAATGAGCTCAGATGTTGCTAGCATTATTAGTGAAATTGTGTCAGAGGTGAGAGGTCTCTTCAGTCAGGTGGAAGCTTTAGTAAGGCTTCTGCTGGTCGTCCCGGCCTCCTCTGTAGAGGCTGAGACATGTCTTAGATAGTCGATGAGTCAAACAAGGCTGAATAATGTGGCTATGTGTCACGTGCACTAGGAGAAACTGGACCTTGAAAGAATATGCCAGTCTTTTATAGGCGTCAACGATAAGCGCAAACAGGCCTTTGGATCCTTTGCTTGAAGAATGGCAAGTCAAAACACTTGTCATTGCCTGGAGAGAGGAGGTGATGGGAGGATAGGAGCAGAAATAACTTCAGAGCAGGGGAGAGGAAAACAGATGACTGGAGAAGAGAGGAGAATATAGGACCAGAGGAGGAGAGGAGAGAGGGCTGGAGAGAAGAAGATAGGAGAGCAGAGCAGAGCAAACGCCCCTGCTGCCTACCCAAGTGTACTTGTAAATATGTAAATAAAAACAATTTTCTAAACCTTGGCCACAATATCTGGACTTGGCTTCACATAACAATGCACAGATTTTTGTGGCTATGGTTATACTTTATTAATCCCTAATCTCTGCCATGACATACAATGAAACAAGAAAAGGTAAAAAAGAAAAAACAGAGCGTATTCATTCTAGATTTGAAGCTTTCGTGACTGCAAGGATTCATCCTCTTAGGTTTTTTCGGTAAAGTCACGTAGGTAAAAAATGTATATACATACATAGCAGGCGTGACCAAAAAGATCTCCAAAATTCTAAAAAAACATAAGATCCAAGTCCGATTCAGTACAGTACATAAAATCCGTGATCTAATCCCATCTGTAAAAGATGTCATTCCTGACTTGCAATACCCTGGAGTCTATAAATTGAGTTGCATCTGTGGTGAGTGTTACATTGGGGAAACGAAACGTCATGTCTCCGATCGTGTCCACGAGCACAAGTCAGATCTGAAACACGGCAAAATTGAGTCTTCCGCCGTTGCTGATCATTGCTACAACGCTGTGGGCTCTCATGAGATTATCGTTTCCGAGACCAAGGTGCTCTGCAAACTTTCTGGCTACCATCAAAGGTGTGTACACGAAGCCATCCAGATATACAAACACAGACATAACTTCAACCGTGATGATGGGTACAAACTGAGTAATCATTGGAAAGATGTTATTAACCATGTAAAAAATATTTAATTACACATATTTGGACCATCTTATTTGACAGGTACTAGTCTACTTTACCGGGAGTTGACATCCCCAGCGTTTAACAGTACTGCTTTCTTTTATTTTGATTATCAGCTAACACCGGCCACAACCCCGAGTCGATGTGCATCGTTGTTCTCTTTTAGCCCCCCCCCCCCACCGTTCCATTCCCTGGCTACCACATTCAGATAATCCCCCCTCCCCCTTAACTTGTATTTAAGAGCTTGTCTCTTGGATTTTTCCTCACTTGATACAGTAAATTTAGCTGTGACGGTCCCACCTGATGACGAAGACTTGTGTTGCCTCCGAAACGTCGTGATTTATTATTTTATTTCTATTCTTATTTATATATTTTTAATTTTTTAATTTTTTACATACGTGACTTTACCGAAAAAACCTAAGAGTAAAAATCAGGGCAATGTAATACAATACACTATTAGACATTATTATGAAAATAAATCAAAAGTTTATCCCATGTGTTAGTGATTTTTTTTCATATTTTAATCAGGAAATGAGTTTTCAAATTTAGATTATTTGTTTCGATTGACTCCATGGCTACGGCCTCGCACAAAGCCATAAACACACACAGAGACCGATAGGGGCAATGGCTACTAGATTTTTGATCCAGATGTCGCTGGTTCGATTTGATTTCTCGGAGTGGCAGTTGAAGCAGCAGAGCGAGTCTCTAAAATCCCCCACCCCTCCCCTCCGCAGCTACCACTGTATGGGTTCTCCAGTCACGTGTGGTGGGGTTAAATGTGGGTATTCCCGCCACTTCCAACTTGTCTGGCAATCGTGGACATGTGGGCAAAATTACCACTCGAGCTCCTTCGAGAAGAGACCCCTTCCGCCAGCAGGGCCTCGAGCGAGCAGTTGCAGTGCTATGCCTGTGCCTCGCACTCACCTTGCATATATGATTTATTCCAGCGGTGCATTCGTCACTGACGTTCCCCTGGAACCGGTTCTACAATCTGTTACCTCATTTAGACCACCTTTGCCAGTACCAAAATATAATAATAGGGTTTTCCCCTTTTTTCTGGCAACAAAACTTAAACCTTTTTACAAGGATTCATGTATGTATTAACCACAATACTTGCAGTCGAAATGCAAACAAAAACACACGGTGATCATATATGCATTGTCTTTGAAACTGATTGGTCCACACCAAGGGACGGCTTTCTTTTGAGCCTCGACCCAATTGGTGCTCGACCAGAGGACGCCTTTTAGCGTCCTCGAGGGAAAACCCCTATTATTACAATCTGTTACCTGTGGAGCGGTCATCGTTGAACAATCCCTACCATGAGTTGCTGCACTGCCGCCTTCTGCCCTCGGTGAGTGACCCCAGGGCCCCGTGGCCTCTCTGCTGAGTGACCCTCTGGGTCCCGTGGCCTCTCTACTGAGTGACCCTCTGGGTCCCGTGGCCTCTCTAATTGAGTGACCCTCTGGGCCCCGTGGCCTCTCTGCTGAGTGGCCCCAGGGCCCCGTGGCCTCTCTACTGAGTGACCCTCTGGGCCCCGTGGCCTCTCTGCTGAGTGACCCTCTGGGCCCCGTGGCCTCTGGAGAGTGGCCCCCAGGGCCCCGTGGCCTCTCTGTTGAGTGACCCTCTGGGTCCCGTGGCCTCTCTGCTGAGTGACCCTCTGGGTCCCGTGGCCTCTGGAGAGTGGCCCCCAGGGCCCCGTGGCCTCTCTGCTGAGTGACCCTCTGGGCCCCGTGGCCTCTCTACTGAGTGGCCCCAGGGCCCCGTGGCCTCTCTACTGAGTGACCCTCTGGGCCCCGTGGCCTCTCTGTTGAGTGACCCTCTGGGTCCCGTGGCCTCTCTGTTGAGTGACCCTCTGGGCCCCGTGGCCTCTCTACTGAGTGACCCTCTGGGTCCCGTGGCCTCTCTGTTGAGTGACCCTCTGGGTCCCGTGGCCTCTCTGTTGAGTGACCCTCTGGGTCCCGTGGCCTCTCTGTTGAGTGACCCTCTGGGCCCCGTGGCCTCTCTACTGAGTGACCCTCTGGGTCCCGTGGCCTCTCTACTGAGTGACCCTCTGGGCCCCGTGGCCTCTCTGTTGAGTGACCCTCTGGGCCCCGTGGCCTCTCTGTTGAGTGACCCTCTGGGTCCCGTGGCCTCTCTACTGAGTGACCCTCTGGGCCCCGTGGCCTCTCTGTTGAGTGACCCTCTGGGCCCCGTGGCCTCTCTGTTGAGTGACCCTCTGGGCCCCGTGGCCTCTCTACTGAGTGACCCTCTGGGCCCCGTGGCCTCTCTACTGAGTGACCCTCTGGGCCCCGTGGCCTCTCTACTGAGTGACCCTCTGGGCCCCGTGGCCTCTCTACTGAGTGACCCTCTGGGCCCCGTGGCCTCTCTACTGAGTGACCCTCTGGGCCCCGTGGCCTCTCTGTTGAGTGACCCTCTGGGCCCCGTGGCCTCTCTGCTGAGTGGCCCCAGGGCCCCGTGGCCTCTCTACTGAGTGACCCTCTGGGCCCCGTGGCCTCTCTGTTGAGTGACCCTCTGGGTCCCGTGGCCTCTGGAGAGTGGCCCCCAGGGCCCCGTGGCCTCTCTGCTGAGTGACCCTCTGGGTCCCGTGGCCTCTCTACTGAGTGACCCTCTGGGCCCCGTGGCCTCTCTACTGAGTGACCCTCTGGGCACCGTGGCCTCTCTGCTGAGTGACCCTCTGGGTCCCGTGGCCTCTCTACTGAGTGACCCTCTGGGCCCCGTGGCCTCTCTGCTGAGTGACCCTCTGGGCACCGTGCCCTCTCATGAGTGGCCCTCAGGACCCCGTGGCCTCTCGTGAGTGGCCCCCAGGGCCCCGTGGCCTCTCGTGAGTGGCCCTCTGGGCCCCATGGCCTCTCTGCTGAGTGACCCTCTGGGCACCGTGCCCTCTCATGAGTGGCCCCCAGGGCCCCGTGGCCTCTGGTGAGTGGCCCTCAGGACCCCGTGGCCTCTCGTGAGTGGCCCTCTGGGCCTCTCCGCTGAGTGGACCTGTGGGTCCCGTGGCCTCTCCAGTGCCAGGGGAATGAATCACACACAGCGGCACTGCTAAAGTAAGAAACGCGTTTAATGGAGACGTTGTCCGTACATCAATCTCTGTGACAGCCGCACGAACACAGTGGGAGTGACGCGGTGACTGACCATGACAGTGAATGCCGTGCGTGTGTGGGCAGGCACAAAGACAAAGGTCCCCCGTGTAGCCCACACAGACTGTTGAGGCAGCATCTTTAAGCGAGTGCCTACGAAGGCCGTCACGGCGCGGCACCTACGAGGAAATGTTGTGGGCGGAACCGCGCCCGGCCTGTGACCACCTTTGTCTCTCCCTGTTGCTGAGGTTTACAAGCCCCAGCAGGTACTCATTTAAGGCTGAGTCGACCCAGGGGAGGCTCAGTACCGGTTCGGATATTCGTCACTGATGTTGGCCGTGAGCAGTAATCGAACTTGGGTGGACGGGTTCGTAGCGCAGTGCGTTAACCGATGCACGACTACTCCCCACACACACATGTATATACACAAAAACACACAGAGAGACACAGCGAGAACAGCACAGTAGAATATTTATACGTTTTACAAAAAGCACTTCATATTTTATTGGTTTGGTTTTTGAAAGTTTTTTGTTATGCGGTAAAAAAAACCTTAATTTTAATTCATCGTCACATGGAACAACATTGGTAGATTGAAAAGTCTTGCGGTTCAACACAGGCGTGGCTGTGACTCGTTATGAACAGACAGGGTCCTTGCCTACAAACATCTGGCAGTTCACCAGCACTGGTTCAAACAACCCTGAATGTGCTGATGAGACACGCAGTGTTTAAACCTGTCTGAACGTTATTTCGTACTGGATCAATGCCACTGAAATGATCGACTCTCGGAAGGCAGCGTGGCTGATGGGATTTGTAAAAACTACTTTTAATGTTTATGTGGAGGGAAACATATGTTAAGGAGGCAAATTTTCTACAGAGTTATTGGGTTACTTATATTCTCCACAACAACATCTGAAAAATCAGAGAAGTATGCCACTAACCAGACACTAGCCAGCCAGACACTCACCCTAAGCCCGATGTCTAACCCGATCTACACAACCGATCTCCTCAACGCCCCCCCCGCCCCATGGGGAGTTCATAGTTCACAGGATGGACTCCGAGTCGGTGTCTTCTGACGAGTCGATGACCACGACGACGTCATCATCGTCATCATCACCATTCATGTCGATGACGACGCACGCGTCCGCTCGCTCGCCGCCTCTCGTCGTCCGGTCCTCGCACTCGTCCACAGCCTCCCCCGCTCCTCTGCCTCCTCCCGCTACCCCAGCAGCCCCCGCTGCCCGTGAGGTGCGGATGCTGGTGGTGCTGCCGCTGCTATTCCCCACGCCGCAGCGCGACCTCCAGTACTCGCGGCGCAGTGTGGCCGCGCGGCACGAGCGTGACCGGGGATCGCGGGGGCTCGCCGGCAGCCACGTCCCAGTGCACTGCACCGCCACCGCTGTCACCGCCGCCGCCATCGCCGCCGCTATGGCGGCCGTGCCGGGGGTAGGTGGCCGCTCGGCGGGGCAGTTTGACCCCTGGGATCACCGCGCCATTGCGCTGCATCGCGACGTGGGGCAGCCTCATGCTCTTCAACTCCACGATCCGTTGTCCCTGCGGAGTTGTAATAATGATTGTATAGCGATATAGAGAGAGAGATATACACAGTGTATCAGACTACACGTGCTGGTCCGATATGTTCGAGGGGACGGGTTCACCGATCACGTCTCTCCAACGCCTTGCGAGTAGCGACCTTACCTTTAGCTTTATTATAATACTATAATAATGATATTATTTGGGTCTTTCGGTAAAGTCACGTAGATAGGTTCAAAGAAAACTATGACGTTTCGATCGCAACACAAGCGCTCGTCATCAGGAAGAGGCAGTTAGCTTCTAAAGGTAAACTGTTTATTAAGGTTTGAAATGAGCATAGCCCAAATGTCAGCAGCCAATGTATATAAGTGGTGGGCAGCGACCGCGACAGTGGTGGGTTTTTCCACCAATCAAAGGGCTGCCCAGTGAAAATTTGCATGATAATGTAAGATCATTGAGCAGCCTCCACGGCGGGCGCCCTGATGTGGCTATGTTAACGTGAGAGATTAGCATGTTAATAGAAGATTACACAGCAAAAACCTCGAGCTCAGTGAGCGAGGTGGCTGTGTTAGGGTGCTACATTTTACCTGTTAATGTAAAATCTATCTACGTGATTTTACCGAAAGACCCAAAGAATGTTAATTCCTGGAGTCACTGAAAGCTTTAAGTCAAGATTTAACCGCCTCTACGAGGAGGGTTTCCACACAATCTATTAGATATTTAACAAACTTCGAGACAAGAAGGCTCATCTGATCGAGTCGCTCACATTCCTGAAGAGATGCTGCGAAACTAAGGTAATACCGATCGCCTTTACATTGACATCTGCTGCTGTGACTTCTCACAATGCTAAACGGATCTTGTTCAGGGCCAGCTTAGCTCTGATCTCAGAAAGAATAAGATTTCTCCGATTTGAAGTACATAATTTAGACAAGACTCTCTTGAAATCACACTTAACATTGGCGGAAAAAATGTCTACATCTGATTGGGAACCTGTAGATAACACGACAGCCTCTTCAGTCAGCTAAATGCAAAGATAACCTGATTTCCAAGTTCAACCTCTTTTCCAAGAAGAAGCCAGATCCACACGTTAAAAAGTTAGACGTTGAAAAGATTGTTATCAATCAGAGTAACAGTCTAATTTCTGACAGCCTAATGTCCGTTCTAGATAAAGGGTGGAATTTTGCAGTCCCTAAACACATCCCAGTTGAATATTTTATTGGCCAGGTTTACGTAGCCCTTATGGGTTTAGGACACATTACTGCAGACGTGGCAAGATCAGAAGTCGCTGTAATCTTCAAAAACGCTTAGGCACCTATTAGCAACATCAGTAAGGATGAGCGCTTTGAGTTTTCTCAATTAAAAAAGAGAGATGAAATAGTCATCTTCTCAGCTGACAAGGGCAGTGCCACAGTCATCATGGACAAAACCACATACAATAACAAAATTCAGGACCTACTTAATGATGGTAGCTATACAAAATTTTAAGAAATCCCACCAACAACCTCGTTACGAAAACCAACAAGATCATCACCGATTTGACATCTTTAATTGAACCAACCAAGCGGTTTTCTTAAAACCCTCTGCTGCTAGACCACTCTTTATGGATTTACCAAAAATCCATAAATAGGGTACACTCCTTCGTCCTATCGTCTCCACCATTGACTCATCCACCTACAAACTGGCCCGATTTCTGTCTGAGACCTTACAACCATTAACTGGTAAGACCACCTCAGCTGTACTTAACTCAGCTCACTTGGTATCGTTAATTAAGGACATCTCACTAGATTTGCTCGTTAGTTTTCATGTAGTCTCTTTGTTTACCAAAGTTCCTGTGCCTGACACCATTGTAATCATTGAAGGTTTGGTCCAACATGGACTGAATGCTGATGTACCAGCCAAGGTGAGACACTGCCTCAACAATACTTACTTCACCTGGAATGGTACATTATACAAACAAGTTGATGGTACCCCAATGGGTTCTCCCTTATCTCTAGTTGTAGCCAATGTTTTCATGGAAATTTTTGAGACAGATGCCATCCAGGCATCCACTCTATGTCCATCCTTGTGGAAGAGGTACGTAGATGACACGTTTGTCATATGGCCACATGGCCGACCAGCTCTGAACCAATTCCTCAACCACATCAGCTCCATAAACCCAGCCATCAAATTCACCATGGAGGTGGAAAAGGATGGCAAGCTACCATTCTTGGATGTTTTAATCGAAAGGAGACCAGATGGCTCAATGGAACACTGTCTACAGGAAGGCCACCCATACGGATGCATATCTTAACCTGACTCCCACCACCATCCTTCCCAGAAGAATTCCCTCTACACCACCATAGAGCTCGATGTATTTCCGACCATCATCACCTAGCCAGTGAACTGGAAGACGTACACTAAGCTCTCAAGATGAATGGGTATTTAGACTACACAATCCGTAAAGCTATCACCCCAACCGTTGGGAAAGAACCATCTGAGGATCCAATTAAAACCATCACCTTGTCATACACAGCAGGGGTCACTAAAAAGAGTTCCAAAATCATGAGCAAACACAAGATCCAGGTTCGATTTAACACAGCATATAAAATTTGTGATCTGATCCCATCTGTGAAGGATGTGATCCCTGACATGCAATACCCTGGCGTCTACAAACTAAGCCGTGTCTGCGGCAGTAGTTACATTGGGGAAACTAAGCGACATGTCTCGGACCGTGTTCGTGAACATAAGGCAGATCTGAAACATGGTAGGACCAATACCTCGGCCGTGGCTGATCATTGTTTAATGCGGTGGGCACGCACGAAATGTATTTCTCTTAGACGAAGGAACTCTGCAAACCCACTGGCTATCAACAAATATTCGTTCAGGAAGCCATCCATATATATAGAAACAGACACAATTTCAATCGAGAAGATGGGTATAAACTGAGCAATCATTGGAAGGACATTATTAACCGGTTCAAGTCAAAACTGACTGTGATGTTGCCATCCTACCACCTTCCGATGCTAGTTGTTATTTTCGTGACTGCAGGGATCCATACTCTTTGGTTCTTTCAGTAAAGGCACGTAGGTATTAAATAAAATAAATTAAATCACAACGTTTCGATTGCAACACAAGCAATCATCAGGTGGGAAAACCACAGCAAGAATTTTTTGTTGCTGAAGTGGGAGAGAGAGTTGCCGTGGTAAGAGATAATATAGGTAAGAAAGGGGGGAGGAGCAAGGTGGAGAGGAGAGGGGTGGGGGTGTGGAGTAGGGGGATGGGTAGCGCTGCGTGGGCGCGAGGAGGAGTACGTGAGGCCAGTTGGGGGGGGGGGGTGTAGGCGGGCTGGCTGGGAGTGGGAGGGCCGAGAGAGCTGGGGATGTGGAGGAGAGGTTAACTCGGAAAATTTACCCGTAAAAACAAAGTTTTTCACTATAAATCCTTTATATGCGTGGCAGGCGAACTTCATATAAAGGATTTAAAAATATATTCGCCTGTGGAGGACGCGGGGATCGATCCCGCGACCTTTGGCATGGGAAGCGAGGGCGCTACCAACTGCGCTACTCCGCCACGGCCTGTGGAGGGGTTACGCTCTGGGCTCTTACACTCTGACGTTCAGCCAAAGCCATGAATGCGTTCTATTTTAATATATGTAAAAATAATTTTTTTGCCTAAAAAGTGTAAAATTTTGGGACATTTTTTTTCACGAACAATAATTGTCTCGGCACAACGAGTCTGTGTGGAAAATGTCAGCTCGATTGGATCACGGGAAGTGGGTTAAAAAACGACCGAAAGATTTGCACGGTCCTAAGCAAGCACGCAAGCAAGCAAGCAAGCGAACTTAATATAAAGGATTTAAAAATAGAGTAGTCGTACCCGGCAGATATGATAGACAACAACCGCTACAAAGCAGTTATGGTTTTACCTGTTTAATAACAAAGGTTTGTTCATGAAGCCATCCAGATATATAAACATAGACATAACTTCAACCGAGAAGATGGATACGAATTGAGAAATCTTGGAAGGATGTTATTAACCAGGTAAAACCCGGGTACGACTACTCTATTTTTAAATCCTTTATATTAAGTTCGCTTGCTTGCTTGCTTGCGTGCTTGCTTGCTTGCTTACGACCGTGCAAACCTTTCGGTCGTTTTTTAACCCACTTCCCGTGATCCAATCGAGTTGACATTTTGCACACAGACTCGTTGTGCGAGACAATTAATGTTCGTGAAATTTTTCCAAAATTTTACACTGTTTAGGGAAAACAAATTAAATATTTAATTACCAATTGTTTAATACTGCAGACAATCATCTGACCCATAGGTGGCAGCCATCTCAAGCTAGAGGACAAGAGGACTCTAGCCGCCACGCATATAAAGGATTTAGAGTGAAAAACTTTGTTTTTACGGGTTATACTTATTCAAGTTAACCTCTCCTCCGCATCACCAGCTCTCTCGGCCTACCACTCCCAGCCCCGCCTACCCCCCCCCCCCCCAGCCTCACGTACTCCTCCTCGCGTCCACACAGCGCTACCCCACACCCCCACCCCTCCTTCCCCGCCCCCTTGCTCCTCCCCCCTTTCTTACCTATACTACCTCTTACTACGGCAACTCTCTCTCCCTCTTCAGCAAAAAAATATTGCTGTGGTTTTCCCACCTGATGATGATTGCTTGTGTTGCAATCGACACGTCGTGATAAAAAAAAATAATCACCTACGTGACTTTACCGAAAGAACCAAAGAGTATGGATTCTTGCAGTCACGAAAACTTCAAATCCAGAATTAGTCGATTTAATTTATTGTGTTTTATATCTACGTGACTTTACCGAAAGAACCAAAGAGTAGGTAGAATTTCTCACCCTAACCACAGCCACCTCGCTCACCGAGCTCGAAGTGTTTGCTTTGCGATCTTCCATTAACATGCTAATCTCTCACGTTAACATAGACACCTCAGGGCGCTTGCCGTGGAGCCTGCTCAAAGATCTTACATTGTCATGCTAATTTTTACTGGGTAGCCCTTTGATTGGTGGACAAACCCACCACCGTCGTGGTCGCTGCCCCCCACTTACATTTAACATTGGCTGCTGACATTTGGGCTACGCTCATTTCAAACCTTTATAAACATTTTACCTTTAGAAGCTAACCCCCTCTTACTGATCACGAACGCTTGTGTTGCGATAGAAAAGTCGTAATTTTTTGTTATTTTCTTTGAACCTATCTACGTGACTTTACCAAAAGACCCTAAGAATATGAATTAAGTCATTATCGATTTTGAATGTAAAAATTCAGTGACTGTCTGCTCGAATTAACATTGAGGCATTGGTGCTCATCTCTTGTTTGAAGCCTTGCAGAACCAGTGGTGGAAATTCCATATTCCTCTGGCGGGGGTAAGGGGGGTGGTGCAAGTCTCTCCATAGCACAACCACTGTTGACTTCCCCACAAAGTGGTGCAAATTTTATGGACCCCGGAGGGAGGGATGATGATGTGCTGAGTCAACCCCACCCCCCCAAACCAGTGATCTGAACTCACGACCTTCTGATCGCTGTGAGCCGCTCGCTCCACCGCTGGGCACCCCAACCGTCACCGTCGTGAGAGGTGACAATGGCTTTGGGGGGGAGGGCTTCATCCAGCAGTAGATAGACCATGGCTGATGGTGATGCTGATGGACTCACCCCGTCCAGCTGTTGGAACTCCTTGCGGCAGATGTGAGATATGATCCCGGCTCCCAGGGAGTCACCCAGAACATTCACCATAGTCCGGAACCGGTCCCTGCAGCCAGAGACAAAGACCCGCACACACAGACACATGCACGGACACGAGGTTAGATGGACACGCTGAGAGATGGACAGAGTGCAGGTTAGATGGACAGACAGATGGAAACACATGATAAGCGCGTGTCTCTGTATCTCTCCGCTAGTCTATTGTGTGTGCTTGTCTCTGTGTGGTAGGCGTGTGTGGTTATTGTCGTCTGCCAGTCATGTCAGTCAACCCATGACAGCTGAGTCTGTCCCATGGCCTCTTGTCAACTAGGAGCCTTCCACACTTCCACACTTTACTGGCCTCGAAGTGCACCTAGCCTGACACAAGCGCCGCAGTGATGTCACCAGCTGAATGGCGGCCATTGGTATCGTCGCCCGCCAGGACGGGACGACAGCCGCACGACCCCCCCGGCACTTGCCCCTACAGACCGTGTGGGCTACAAGGGGGAGCTTTGCCTTGCGTGCGTGTGTACCCACAGCGCCCAGTCGACGGCGACGATGAGGGAGATGTCCTCGCTGGGCAGCCCCACGGACGTGAGCACGATGGCCATCGTGACGAGGCCCGACTGTGGAATCCCGGCGGCGCCGATGCTGGCTGCCGTGGCCGTGATGCTGACGAGTCCCGAGGAGATGCACGCAGAGGCACGGAATATTATGTAGAGACTCTCATGGTCACACACACGCACGGCTACTGTTTTATTATTATTTCGCTTGTTTATCCAGGTAGCATGAAGAAAGATTCAACTCTTCACAGGAGGGTCCTGCCAAGTTTTTGTGATGGGGGTGATGAGTGCTGCTGCTGCTGCGTGATAGTAATTGACTAATTTTCAAATTTGGACCGTGATGCTGACATACTATGGCCTTCGCTTGCGAATGGCGTCATGCATCCTTAACGTTCTTACCGCGAGTGAATCGGATGGTGCGTCGTAGTAATTTTTTTTATAAATACAGCACCACCACCACCGCAGTCTTAATCAGGACAGCCACCACATTCGATCCGCGAACCTCTGCAAGTGGCAAACGCCACTCTACCGCTGGGTCACGGCATCCCCGGCGCAGGTTGCAGGGTTTGGCAGGGAGGAGGATGAGGAGGAGGCACCTGATGGTGACGAGTTGGCCGAGGTCCAGCTCGTAGCCGTTGACCTGGGCGATGAAGATGGCCGCCACGGCCTCGTATAGTGCAGTGCCGTCCATGTTGATGGTGGCCCCCACCGGCAGCACGAAGCGTGCGATGCGACGGTCGATGTGGTTGTTCTCCAGCAGGCAGCGGAACGTGATGGGCAGCGTCGCCGAGCTACCATCACGACAACAGCGACAACAACGACGACAACGGTCACACGACGGAGACAACGACGTTGGGCTCCCGTGGCGGCCCCGTCGGGCTGGCCATCCGGCTATCGGCCATGGCGGCGAGGCCGGCGGGCACCTGGAGGAGGTGGCGAGCGCAATGAGCAGGGCCTGCAGCATGCCACGCACGAAGGCCACGGGGTTGCGGCGAGTGACGGCGCAGTAGATGCAGGGCAGCACGACAAGGCCGTGCAGCACCAGCCCCGCCACCACCGTGGCCGAGTAGAGGCCCAGGCGCCGGCCCAGCTGGGATGGGTCGTCCATCTCCAGCACCTTGGCGGCCACCAGGAACACGATGCCCAGCGGGAAGTACCTGGGGAGACCGGGCGGACGGGAGGCCAGAGAGGTTGTGGTGGTGCAAGGAGGAGGAGTGGGTTCATTGTGGTGGTGGTGCTGTTGGTAAAGGAATAGTGGCATTGGTAGTATTGGTAGTGCGTGAGTGTCATTGGTGGTACTGGTGGTGTTGCTAGTGTGTGCCGGTGGTGAGACCCACCACACAGTGACGGATACAATGCGCAGCACAGCCTCGTTGAGACACTGGCAGAACGTGACAAGCGGCAAGCCGTTGTGTCCCATCTTGCCGAGCATCACCCCTAGAGCACACGTCGCGAGCGCCAGCACACAGCCACGTCACCCGCATTGCCCACCCAACTGGAAACGGCAGACCAACGTTGTGCGTTGGCAAGGGCGATTCAACCTCCCCACAACCAGGACGTCAACTCGCGTCGTTCCGATTGCGTTTCTGCTCAAACGCATTTCTCCCCATTGCTGTGCCTGCCTCAGTCCGCTTCAGCTTTCCAGGAGCATTGTTATCGATAAAGAACACGAATCCGTGGACAATTCACCTCCTTCACACATCTGTCCTTCCACATGAAGTATTTTATTTACACATCCCATCGACCAAACGGCATTCTGGGAGTGCATCATATTAGCAGCATTGGTTCAACTCTTGTCGGCAGAGTGGGGCTTGCTTGCACCATCGCTGGTGAACTGCACAGACGGTTACAGGTCAGAAAGGACATGGCTTCTAGTTCCACGCAAAGCCATTGTAACACGAGATAACACTGTCACCAGGTAACACCGTCACGAGGCAATACGAGGTAACACCGTCACGAGGTTACATTGTCTACGTCGGAATGGAAGCCGCACCCATGGTGGCTGAAAAGATGACGATTCCCAGGACGTTCATTCCCGCGCTGGTGCCCGGGACGCTCCGGTAATACACGCGGGGCGGCAGCGTAACCATCTCCACCAGCACCCTCTCCGTGGCAATGCCGCCTCCACCGCCGCTGCCGCCGTCGTCACCATCCCCGTCACCATCGTCGTCATCATCCTCCGCCACGACGTGAAACACGAAGTGCGGTCGGCCTTCAATCGTCTCCACCTCATCGCCCGCTCTGGATGAAGAGTAAAGAGAACCAATGGTTTCGTGTGGCTGGAGTGTGTTATTACTATTATAAGTATTCCTCTACGACGCTTGATTAACGACAAAAGTCTCTAAACTCCTTTTCAGGAGGGTCCTGCCAAACGTGGCAATGATGCTCTTGACGTCTCTCATCCCAATCGAGGAACTTCTCGGCATCGGGAAGTTTGGCCAACGGCGGTAACATTGTGTGGCTTTGTTTTTTAGCTACGGGAGGCAACCAGAGAACCACACACTGGCACACATAGACAAAGATCCCCCGTATTGCATTCAACAGACTCTGAGGGCAAGTGCTGTTTGCGAGCACCTATGAAAGCCGAAACGGCACATGAGGGGGTGGGTGGCCAGCACCACAACCGGCGCCTTTGTCTCCATAGTGGAGATGTTTACACTACACCAGCTACTCATTTGAGGATGCGTCGACCTAGGGGAGAACCACGCTCACACAGTTGACTTTACTCACCCGTGTCTGGCCGGGTGCTCCTGCTGCTGCTGCTGGCTATGCTGTCGCTGCTGTCGCTGCTGCTGGTGTTGCTGGTGCTGTGAGGGGGCTGGTCGCTTAGTTGGAGCCCATTTGCTACGACCACCACCTCTACCAGCACCTCCACCACTCGTGATGTTGGGAGGCAGGGTGGTGCCTGTTGACGACGTGATGGGTGACACGAGGTGCGGAGTCTCGTTTCGCGGCTTCACCACGGAAACCATATTGGTGCGGTACTGAGAAAACAGATCATCGTCGCCCTCATCATCGTCATCGGCCGTGATCTATCCACTGCTGGATGAAGGCCTTCCCAATCCGCCAACACGGGCTGATTTCGTGGCTCCATCTCCGCGGAGAGATCTGTGTGGAGAGATCTGTGTGGGTCTCACCTGCTGGAACGTTGCCTCCACGAGGTTGGCTGGAAACATGTTTCTGCAACGAGAGTGCGGTGACATTGGAAAAGTCGCTCAACAGCAGCAACAGCAGCAACAAGTGAACCGGCGGTCATAATCTCTCGGCGGAACAAGTGGAGAGTGTGGAGGGTCGGCGTGTCGTGGCCGGCGCAGGCCCCGTGGCCACCGTATGAGGTCGAGCAGGGCGTCCGCCGAGCTTGGCAGGCTGCGGCCTCCCTGGTCGCGGCCGTCGCGCTGCGCCGCGCTGCCCGGGTGCACGGCGCACGCCAGCACGATGCCGATGACCACGGCGAGCAGCGTGGTGCTCAGATAGTAGGAGACCGTCACCAGGCCCAGGCGGGCGCACGTCTTGCTGTCCAGGGCGGCCAGGCCAGAGATGAGGCTGCAGGCACAGCACGGTTTTAAATGACAGAGTTTCGTTTAAACGTAAAAACAAAACATCAAACGGAGAGTTGGCGACAGCAGTGCAGGGGTCTGTGGGCCGAGTGCTCTCTCTGCTCCGTCCTGTGAGTCGCATTCAGGTGTACCACCTGGCATCGTGCCATTGGCGATCGTCATAGTACTCCGCCACCTGCGTCTTCGCGTAGAGTTACACTGCACTTAATCCCACGGCTCAGGGAATATGGGTCAAAAGGCCCCTGTTCCGAGCCCCGAGTGGAACGGAGGAGACCTGGGGACGTCGCTAATTCCAGCCCAAGGCAACGCGGCCGCAGCGTAATGCACTAAACGCTTTGATGCGCCTCTCCGCCCTGTCAGAGGGCCGTCGCTTGAAACGGTTTTGCCAAGTTCAGAGTCTAAGAGTTAAAGTGAGTTCCTGCTCTACTGAGCAACATCGACGCATTGGTGCTCATGTTTCGTTTACGGCCCTGAGCCAATGGTGGAACTTCCACATTTCTATGACGGGGGCGAGTATATCCATAGGACAACCACTTCATCTTCGCCACAAAATGGTACTCATTGTATCAACCCCGGAGGGGTGATGGTAAGAGTCAACCCTTCCCAGGATATGAACTCGCTAACCACTGCACCACCGCTCATCACAACACGCATACACACAGGTGTCCCGTACCTGGATGTGACGAGGGGTAGGATGAGCATCTTGAGCATGCGCATGAGCAGCTCACCCGGGAAAGCCAGGTACTGGATCTCCTGCAGGGCAGACGACCAGGCGCTTTACAGAGCACAGCACACCAGAGACTCACCATCGGGCCAAACGAATCCAAAGGTTAACACGGAGGAGCTTTGCGCAACTGATATGATTTGTAATTCATAATTGGGTGAAGCCATTTCATGCCCAAATGTGTGTCGTAGGCCTTACATCACACGACACAGCCGAACGCATGTTCACTTGTCACGTGGTGTACAAGCAGTTAATGCACTGATTGTTGTTGTAGCTCAGATCAGCGCCGATGAGTTGGAGAACAAATCTCAGGGCCTACATTGAGCAGCGATTTGATTCACGACGTTTGGCTTGAAACTGCGGCAGGTGTCTTCAGAACAAGGTGCAGGAAGTCAAAGTAAATTTGGGGTCAAATATTCTGACTTCCTCGACGTTATGTTGACGATTCTTGGCGTGACTGGCTTACACGGCCAAGGCACGTGTGCCTCATCTGCAGACACCTGCACACGAAGTGAACACACCTATCACACGCCTCGCACACACCTCGTATTGTTAATTTTAGTTTAATGTCACGTCTTCGCTGATGCAATTCGCAGTCTCATAGTCGCTGACGAACCACGGACACGCGGGAAGGCAGACAGGCGGTGAGTCGGCACTAACAACTGCCCAGGTTCTGCAGTCCCCTATATATTGAGACGTTTTCAGACAATGAGTTGAGACATTTGGGAGTAAACCGGAGCACCTGGAGAAACCCCGTGCCTGCGAGCGGGCAACATTATTGACATGTGTCACATACACACACACACATCTCTTGACAGGTGTCACACACACACACATCTCTTGACAGGTGTCACACACACACACATCTCTTGACAGGTGTCACACACACACCTCTGCACAGGTATCACACACATAGACACACACCTGTCGACAGGTATCACACACGCAGACTCACACCGACTTCGCAGGCGTGTGGCGCGCGTGCTGGGAGCTCGTCACCTGCTGGGAGAGCTGCTTGGCTCGCAGCAGGAAGCCCAGGAGGCAGCCCACGATCACCGACATAACGGAGAGGATGAGCAGCAGGTTCTGCAGCACGGACGCCTTGACGCGGAGCCACGCTGTGCTGCTCGTCGCTGCGCACGCCATCCTGCTGTGCCTGCCGGTGAGTGGTAGTGGTGGTGAGTGGTGGTGATACTGATGGTGCTACGGGTGAGTGGTGTGGATAGTGATGGTACTACGGGTGAGTGGTGTATGTGAGAGTGGAGGTGACACTGCCTGAGCTGGTGGTGAGTGGTGGTGATAGTGATGGTCCTACCGGTTAGTGGTGGTGATGCTGTTGGGGCTGGTGGCGGCGGTGAGTTGTGATGGTGGAGTTTACGACGGTCGGCACTGGCGGTGGTGGTGCTGATGCTGAGATGACTGCTGAGGCCCCTGGTGGTGGTGGTGCAGCTGATGGTTGTGTTCTGCTGGCGCTGCTGCTGCTGATGCAGGTCTCTACTCAGTCGTGTTTCCCACGCAGGTTCTTTACATCCTGCTGCTGGTGTTGATGTCGCCGCAGATCCAATATTAAGGTGTTGCCTGCTGCTGATGATAATGCTTCTGCTGATGACGCTGATATTCCTGCAGCTTACGATTTCAATGCCAGGTTAAGACACAAATTTATCGGCAAAACCGTGGCGATTTCCGCTTCCGAACAACAACGAAACGAACCAGGCGATCGCTGCCAGATTTTACTTTTCAAAAGTTGCACGGCATCTCGCAGTCCACCCTTGCTGGCTCGTTGGTTGGCATCAGCGAGGCTTCCACCAGCGCTCGGCGTCCCCCGCCAGCGCTGCGCATCCGCTCCACCGCCACTCGCTCCCCGTCAGCGTCCCTCGGCTGCCCCCCTGCTCTGTCACGAACCGGGCTCCATGCCTGACAGACACTCGAACCGGAGCAACAATCCACGGTGCCACTACGAAAACTGGTTAACAGAACAAAAAAAACCCAAACCGTTCGGTTACGCCATTTGCTGTTGACCCCCAGTTTCTGCGCGCAGGGTCCAGATGCGCAATGCGTAAAGCGGCCAGCGACAAACCGCACCGGTTGGTTTGGATTCAGTTAGGGCCTGGACCGCCGGCTGACGCGAGAAGGGCCGGGGAGGGCCACTCGCGAGCGCCGCGATTCTCCCATCCCCGACACCGCTCGCCAAAGGCTCAAAGCATTTGTCTGAGCCACTGCGTAGCAACAAATCCCCTCGGCTTTGCGAGACCCGGGAGTAATCTCGGGTAATCCGCGCGGCACGAACATCACCGAGAGGAGAAACGGGCGACCGTGTAATTGTCTAGGCCACCGCCTCCAAAGCAGTTGAATGATGTGGCTGAACCAACAAGCAACAGCGAAACAAACTCTTTCGAGTTGGTGGTCGAGACAAGGCTGAGAGGATTGTGCGTGCGGTGTGGTGGACGCGTGACGCGCGTAGGGGCAGGGCACATGGAGTGTCGCCTTGCTGCTGTTTCTGAGCAGCTCGCCTGCAAGTGTTGATAAATCTACACACCCACTCAGCCACTGACTCACCTACCCACTCATCCACTGGCTCACCTACCAATAAACCTACCCAGTTATCCACGACCTTACCCTTTAGCTCACCTACCCACCCACTTACCTATTCACCTGCCCACGCACCCGAAGAAACACCCACTCGCCCATATGTGATTATTTTTTAACACAGTTGCTTATCAAAGGGCCAAAACGTCAAGCGGTCAGCAACAAACAGTGCTGTTGAAGTGGTCATAGATAAGCGTTAACACGTTTCATGAATTAAGCACGGTTATTATTGTTGTAAGATCTTTGCGGGAAGAGATGACGATGATGGTGGGAAAGGGAATTCCAGAGTGGAGCAGTGCGAGGGAAGAAGCAGAAAGAGAAGTGAGTGACTTGCAATGTGGTGAGTGTGTGGGTGAGTGGGTAAGTGAGTGAGTCTTGCTCTGACCTGCAGTGTGGTGGTTGAAAACTGTGTGGATGAGACGATTCAGTGTCTGGTAACCCGAGGGAACAGCCGCCACTGCAGTCGCGATTAAAAAGTGATAAGGAGGCGATTGACCGCCAGTGAACCAACGAGTGCGGGACCATCAATGACCCCGAGTGCTGCTTCACTCTGGACCTTGTGTGGTGCAGCAATGCGGTGGGAGCCTGGCGCTGCACAACCAGATGTGACAGCAGCAGCGAGGGTCCGGTTCGTGCCGTCCATGGGAGCAATGATTGCTCGGCGTTGATTCGCTATCGCGTGAGCCCCACTCCATCCCGTGCGATGCCGTCAAGTGTCTCGGTTCGGGGCGTGGAGCGTTTCTCGTGCGAGTGATTTCCTGCTCCGCTAACGAGCACTAAGGCGTTGGGCCGATCGCGTCTCTCGCGCGCCTTGCGAGCGGGGATCTTGGCGCTTTCTCGTTGTTGAACATTCGACGTCGGAGTGATTCCTGCTGCTCGAATCCACATTGAGGCATCGGTGTTCATCTCCTGTTCACAGCCCTACAAAGCCAGGGGTGGAATGTATACGTTACTATGACGGGGGCGACTCTGTCTCGGCGACAACCACTACTGACCTACCCACAAAGTGGTACTTATGTTTAGGTGAACGTATAAGGTGCTAGGTAGGTGAATGTGTAGGTAGATAGATGTCATTGTATCGACAATGGAGGAATGATGTCCACCACCCCCCAACCAGGATTCAAGATGTGAACTCACAAACTTGCCGGCTGTGAGCCGCTTGCTCACCCAACCAGGTGACCACGCGTCACAAAGAGACAAAGACCCCCCGTGTAGTCGCAACAGGCTGCAGGAGCAAGTTCCAGAAAGGCACACCAGGGGTGGGTGATCAGTACTACGGCCGGCTGCCTTTGTCTCCCTCGTGCCGATGTTTACACATCATACCGGGTGCGCATTTAAGTTCAGATTTTTAGATCCAATAATCACGTGTACACGTCGTGTATCCACGACGGCACCTCGCAACCCCTCCTCAACAGCCCCCCCCCCCCCCGCTCCTGCTCGAGCGAGGGGATTTGGACCTCTACACGGATATGGAGGGGTCATGGGGATTAGAAGGGGTCAAGGTCCTGGTGTGACCGATCTCTAAGCCTATGCGTCAGGATCTCCGCTAAATCCTCCAGAGCCGCGCAGCGCCGTCGCCGGGCCTCGCAGTCATAACATGTTTTCATTCATTGATCTCGTTAAATAGAGTGCCGCGTATTGTCACTACGAATGTTGTTTCTAGTGTAGTGCTTTTGTTAAACCGGCAGAGCCTCACGTGCGAGCGTGACCCCCGGCGCCGCAATCAGACAAAGCGAGCACGAAAGGTAGAGTGAGCGAGCGAATAGAATTCGAGACAAAAACAACAAAAGCATTACCACTTGACAGAAGACATTCGAACACAGTGAACAAACGCAAATCGGAGGCGGTGCTGTACTCCCGTTTGCAGACCTGTAGAGCTAGCGGTGGAAAGTCCACGTTCCTTTGGAGGGTGGGTGACATTTTACTTACGACAATCGCCGTTGACACCCCCACAAAGTGGTACCCATTTAATCGACCTCGGATGGAGGGAGAGGTGATGGGCTGAGTCAACCCCCACCCCATCCAGGATTGGAACTCGCGAACTTCCAATTGCGAGCCGCTCGCTTTGTCACTGAGCACTTGGCCGGTTTCAAAATATGCATCGTCATCATCATCATCATTGTTATTGTGCTGTGATGATGAGGTGGCTCGTCATTTACAGATGTTGTCCTAAAGAGGATTGCTACGGAAGTGGCCATGAGCGCTGTGCACTCACGCCGGCTGGCATAGCCCGCGCCCTTCCCTTTCTGCAATTCTCCGCGCATCTCCGCTGGGATTATCGCTGTGTCTACCAAGCCGCGCTGCGCCCTGAGCATGACTCACCGCCACACTGCCCCGTGTTGTTGTGTCCGCTCTTTGAGGACCCGTGTCTGAACACGGGCAATTCAAGAGAGCCTGGCTCTGCTTACAAGACACTAAATGTCAAAATCTGTCCAGAATGTGCTTGTGTATAGCCAATTCTGCTGAAGTTACGCACTCCCAGAAGGCTTTTCGGTCGTATCTGTGCCGATTTCTATTTGGATGTCTCTCACAATTATTTGATTGTTTATGCTCTGGTGGCTGTTTGCTTGCTCGCTGTATTTCGTTACCTTCTCGCTTCTGTCGTTGTGGTCACCCAGACCACTCTTGCAATCGAGACTCAGTCAAAACAAGGACAAACAGATTCAAACAGAGCTTTTATCCTACAGCGATCACCACACTCAATAATGCTAATTAATTATTAAGTAATAGTGTTTACAATTGACTGTGAAATAGAGATGTGCAATGACAAAATGTAACCTTATGTGGGTATGTGGGTATACTTGGGCTGTTTTTATATATAGTATAAATTGATTATCTTTCATTTAATTTTATTTTTATTTTCTTGTTTTATTTAATTTAAATTTATGAATGATGCCCTGACTGGTGAGCATTTTAAATTTCGTTGTACTGGTGACAATGACAATAAACGATCTATCTATCTATCTTTTGAGTCCCCCGCGTGTCAACAAAACACGACAGTGATGTTCGGCTCAGTTTGGCATTGAGGCATCGGCGCTCATTTGTTGTTCACAGCCCTGCAGAACCAGTGGGGGGAAATTCCACATTCCTATGGCAGGAGTGAGTCTATCCATAGGACAACCACTCTTGGCTCCATCATCCTTAACACAAAGCGGCACACATTGTGCCATTGGCTTAGAGGGAAGGCGCCTGGATTAGGGATTTGCCTCGGCTGTCCCCGTGACTCTGGGTAACCAGCATTGGGTCATTGTAACGGTGGCAGTATTAATCCGCTCGTCCCTTGCGTGCGTTCAGCGGTGGAGTCGTTTGCGATGGGTGACGATTTGCCAACAGTCCACAAGGTAGCGCTAACGTCATCGGAGCGGGGAGGGGGGGGAGGTTGATGGGAGGTGGTGGTGGCCGAGGTCGAGCGCAGACTCCTGCTGCTGCTGCTGCTTTCGTGGTTGGTCTGGATAAGCCCCCACTCCGCCTTCCCCGGCAGGATGGTCCCTCCGTTTGCTCTGCTACCCCCGCTGCCTGGAAATGTCCGCCGAACGCACGTGTTCACGAATCACAGTGGATGGGGAACGTGTCCTGATTATTTGTAATATGTTGTGTTTCTTTGACCAGGAGATGTAATTAACCCACAGAGACACGTGAAACAGCCTTTCTTTTGCAATGTCAAGTCTTAATTAGCTTTATAATTATGTCGTTACACTTAATTCATAATTGGTTTTGTGTTCAGCCACGTTCATGATCTGGCCAAACTTCACCACCCGACACGGCGAAACAAATTGTCACGTGCGCAGGCGTTGAACCGGGCAACGACAGCTATCGTTGACAATCTGCACTGCATTCCTCGTGGATGAATCTGAGTTTTCCTTGAGCGATAAACCCGAGGCGGGCCCACGAGGAGGCGATGGAGCCACGTCGAGCGTGACAGTGCGGAGCACAGGAGCTGCATGAGCACGGAACCTCGGTTAAATCTCCTGCGAGCAGGCCTCGATTCATCACGTGGCCTCAACGTGCACCTAGCCCAGGGGTCGGCAACCAAAATAACAAGAAGAGCCATTTCTTTCCAATTCGGTACAAAATTCAGTATTTCAAGAGCCGCAATGCATCTGAGTACATACGTACTCATCGTCAAGAAGCAGCCCGTAAAAAGCCGCATGCGGCTCCGGAGCCGTAGGTTGCCGACCCCTGACCTAGCCGGACACAAATGCTGTGGTGACGTCCACTGAGTAGTGAACGGCGGTTGTGTGGAGGGTGTAAGGCGCTATAATTTCTCTTACAAAAAAAATCTGGACCGGTTTTGATATGCAATGTCTCATCAGCAGAGCCAGACTTGCTTGATCAAACTGTTTATCGGCTTATAAATGACACATTTCTATTTATGCGATCTAACCCAAAACCCTCTGTTATAAGCAAGGAACTTCTCTGGTAGGTATGGGTGATAGACGCAAAATTCTTGGTAATATTGTACTAATATGTGATAGAAGTCTGATAGTTATGCCACGGCTAACATCAGTGGCTAAAAGTTACGTCTGCGCTGGGCACACGCCGCCACGAACTGGTCAAATGCCCTCCACAACTGACACGGCGCGAGCCATCATCCTGCAGTGGATTCACTAACAAGTAAACCCGTAAAAACAACGTTTTTCACTATAAATCCTTTATATGCGTGGCGGCTAGAGTCCTCTTGTCCTCTAGCTTGAGATGGCTGCCACCTATGGGTCAGATGATTGTCTGCAGTATTAAACAATTGGTAATTAAATATTTAATTTGTTTTCCCTAAACAGTGTAAAATTTTGAAAAAAAAAATTTCACGAACATTAATCGTCTCGCACAACGAGTCTGTGTGCAAAATGTCAGCTCGATTGGATCACGGGAAGTGGGTTAAAAAACGACCGAAAGATTTGCACGGTCGTAAGCAAGCAAGCAAGCACGCAAGCACGCAAGCAAGCAAGCGAACTTAATATAAAGGATTTAAAAAGCGACCACTACTGCTGGCGCAGTCGTGGAGTGATTTCAAGTCGTCGTTGTGGGTTGACTCAGCCCATCATTCCTCCATCCGGGCACCACTCTGAACAGATAAAATGAGCACCACTTGCAGCTGAAGTCAATTGGTTTCCTTTTGATAGGCTCGCCCCCGCCATAGGAACGTAACATTTTCACCACTTGGTTGAGGCTGTGAACAGGAGATGAACATTACATGAATGAGCAAATGAGCGAGAATAAAAGTTGGTATCGTGTATTTATGTATTATTCCGCTCGTTTACCCACACAAGCCTCGCTGAGTCGCAGGAGGGTGCTGCCGAGTTTTCGCAGCACGGGTGATTTTGCTGCTAATGCTGTGTGATCTCAACTTGGCAGGCGATTTTTCAGCAATGGGATGTTGTTTGGCCAATACCAGTTGCATTGTTTATTTTAGCAATGGCAGGACATCGGAGAACACAGAGTAAACCCACACAGACTCGAGGGAAAATTACAAATTCCACACGGAAAGGCACTCGAGTCGGGAGTCGAACCCAGGCCCTTCTTGCTGTGAGGCTCAACGAGTGTTACTTTGGGGGCAGACGTCCGCCCCACCGCCCTCGCCGGGCAGGTGGGGCGCAA